CCTAGAAGCCGCTGGATGCGAGCTGCGCAAGACCGATCGTCGTGAAGATCTATGGACGAGGTCTATGCTCAGTAGTGGGCGTCGCACGTCTGATAACTCTTTTCTACCTTCTACACACAGGTACTTACCTACTTGATTCTGTTCTTGTTCTTTTTCTTCTTGTATGTAAATTGTTAACAATAAACTAAATATTTATTTTACACTCATATTTGACGTGGTTTAGGCATTATAATGATCTTTCTCATTTATATTATAGTGTATTATGGCGTCCATGCCACTTAACTACATACATAAAGTACTCTATTTTATCTGAATTATGCGAGTGTGTGCGTGCCTCAGAGAAAATCCGTTAAAAATTATGCTGTTTTCAGCATCCACCACTACGAGCAGAACAAAAAATAAATACAAGGTAAATGCTTATATGCAATAAATGAAATTGTCAAATTAAATGTTTGTATATATCGTGGCCATATCGTAGAATTGTTCGTTTCATGATCCGGCCGGCCATTTCATGAAACGGTTGTATTTCATCGGAAAAAAATTTACCTTGAAATTAAATACGAAAGCTACACTTCGCTTCTCAATCATATTAAATTTCTAACATATAACATTACCTACAGTCTATCATATAGAAAATTTATTTAATATTATATCTCAAAAACTTATTACGTCGTCTAATATATTTTTATTATCCTCTGGAGCAACATCTTAATCCTGTCATCATCATAAGCTTGTTTCGTTACTTGGTCACGACATATACACCAATATAGTAATAAAATATCTGGTTATAGGTATAAAATTATGAAGTCCAGACCACAGAAGCAGTAGCAGGACCATAATACAAAAAAAAAATACAAGAAGACCACCGACAACAGCACAATTAATAAAAGATATATTTCATAAAATTTACCAAATATATCTATAAGTATATGTTGCGTGTGTGTGTGACCTACCTATACATCATAATACAACAGTGGAACCAATTCTGTTGTAGCACTTAGCACAGGTTTACTTTAATGATTATTCTGTGGTAGTATTTAATATAACAATTACTCTTTTGTACACTATGTTTATTTCTTATAAGAATTTATAGAATTAAAATGTAATTTGACATTACTAGAATTAAAGAATCTAAATTTTATCTATTCTGATTCAATGGAATTGCCATACTACTTTTCTTTTCATATCGAATGGGAATAAGCCATTAAATAGAATATACGTGTTAGTTATCATAGCCTTAGAATAAAATTGTTTTGAAAATCAGTGCTTACTTATCAGTATTTTTTCTGAATTATCTTCCAATAAAATCATAAAGCCTATATCGATTTATTATGTACGCTGAGAGTCAAGTAGTATGCCCATACTAAATTAAAGATTTCATATCTTATACTTCTTAGCTACCTTATACAATATTGAATAAAACAAATATATATATATATATACCCAAAATAAGTCAATAACACAATACCCTGATATTCGTATATATAGTCGAGATAAATAATTACTTGAGAAAAGCAAATATTTTTAACAAATTCACGAAAATTTGAATGAAATAAGAACTATCAATAGTTAATAATTTATACTCGCAAATAGTTGATTGTATTCTTATTGTTAACAGGTCTTACTTTATTCAATAATTCTTGATACTTGATTATTTATTAAAAATATTTGCTTAAATAATTACTTATTTATAAAAAACTACACAACATGTAAGTAATTGATATACAGTTGTATCGTTACACTTGAACTAACTAAATCACTGACTTAACTTTCACATTTCAAATCAGTTTGACAAGAAAAGTCTAAACCAAATCTTTTGTATCTGCTTTGTATCTTTTGTATCTGGAATTTTCATTTATTATAGTATCAAATAGATTCTAGAGCAGGATAGAAATACTCCAAAAAAGTTTCCGTAAGATAAAAGTTTGCTGTGGCTTGGCACGTATTATTTTCCAGATGTACCAAATCTATTCAGATCCAAATACTCATTATATAAGTAAACAAATGTACAAAATGAGTAGTTTTCATCTTTTAATTGAGATATAGGCAATAAAATTTTGTGATAGTATTTCAATAAATTACCAAAAACGGAACCAATATCTCTTCGTAGTGTATACGCTACGGCGTAGACGCTATGAAAGGCTGTATGCTAGTTTAAGGGAAACTGTTGACATAGTAACATTTTCGCATAATGAAGTTTCGCTGTTGGCGAATCCAGTATCTAAGAGATACTATAGATTGTACGTCATTACGAAATCAATTGACAATGTATCGAAATTAGTTTCGTAACACTAGTTTTTAGTTTCATGCAATTATTTTCGTAATTTAAATTCGGCTTAAGATATAGTGCTCTTCTTTTAACAATACATCGAAGAAGCGCTGTCTCAGTTTTAGAATTTCTATAAAATAAAATCTTCTCTAAAACGTAACAAGGGTTTTAATATCCCTAACGCAAAGCAGCATCTGATGTGGATGTTATATGCAAAAGGTAGGCAGACCTGCTATGTTTTATTAAGTAACTAGGCATATGATTGTTTATGTATTCATACGGTGGACTGACGGGAAGGAATAATCTACAATTCAGTTTATTATTAGATTAGTCTGGGGTTATACTAGGTAAAGATTCTGAGTTCACGTATTCCTAGTACAATGTAATACTCGATACAAATACCTGTTCTATTTAGTCCACCTACTATAAGTACTACTTAATACTAATGCTAAATTGTTCAGGTATTCAGTCAACTCACGGGTACGAATCACTTACGATTCAGTTTGTCAAACTGTCTTTAAAGTTAGTTGACTCAAAATCGTTCAGCAAGACCTCTTTTGGGAACGGAGTGGCAACTACGAACATTCCCATCAGCTTCTTTCAATTCTTGAATTGTTTTTAATTTGTTATTCGAATTTCGAATAAAACTAATTACCATTTATTTATTATGTCTGTTTATAATAATCTTTACTAATATTATAAAGAGTTAAAGATTCTTTATAAGTTAGTTAACTAACTTTATTTGTTTTTTTAGGGGGGTAATCTTCGGAAATACTGATCTGATAATGAAAATTCTTTCACCCACGGGAGCCACATCATAGACGGTAAACAAAAGCTATAATTTACGAGGGCGAAGTCGCAGGAAAATAGCTAGTATGTGATGCATAGAAGTAACTAGGTACATAGATAATGAAAGACTGTAATGTCGGTATGTAAGAACATACCTATATGAAAATACTAGTGGACGCCCGCGACTTCGTCCGCGTGGAAGTCGGTATCCCGTGGGAGTGAGAAGTTTTCCCAGTAAAAAGTACCCTATGTGTTATTCTGATGTATAACCTATATTGCTGTAAAGTTTTATCCAAATCCGTCCAGTAGTTTTTTCGTGAAAGAGTAACAAACATCCATACATCCATACTTACAAACTTTCGCCTTTATAATATTAATAGGATAACATCTACACGGGGGATGTCGAAATAAAAAAATACTTTTTTCTATGATTAATTTAATTAGTTTTCATACAAATGTCTTACAAAATATAATACCTTGCAAATAATAACATTGTTTATACGAGACCTGATTACTGATTCGTTATGGTTAAACAAATGAATGTTTCGAAAATGAAGTTATTATTGTTGGCAGTAATATTGATATACTAAATTAAAGTATAGTAACATTTTATGAAATATATGTATTTTTGATGATGATTATATATTTTTAAGGTTACAGTAAAGTACCTTCTAGATAAATATATTTGTGGTTTAAGGAAATAGTTATTCGAGCTTTTCTAATGATGACATGACGTAGCTCTCAAAATTATAAGGTGCTATAATAATTGATTATGAACTTATGAATATATTTTGATAAAACGCTTGCACGAGAAGTCCGGGGAAATGTTATTGCAAAAAGAAGAGATATTGCAAACCGTGTCTGCAACAAACCGAGATTCAAAGAATACCACCAAATGACCCTCTCTAGTTAGGGCTGCGTTCACAGTAGACAGAAAACGAAGTTTGCGAAGTTAATAGGACTACGCGATACTTTTTAAATCTGCTACGATAATACGACCTTCATCATCGATCGCAACGCCCGATGGACGATTTAGCTCACCAGTACCGAAACCTTCACATTTTGCACAATGTAGAACTTTTGATAGAGTTGAATCTAACATTATTATGCGATTGTTCTTAAAATCGGTTACTACTATGTTGCCAAACGTTGTGAAGCTCACACCTCTCGAAATTGTTGGACACCTCAACATTGTGGTTGAGTTAGAACTCTCAAATACATATTGGGTGATGTAAGTCTCGTTGGTTGTAAATAGTTGAATTCGGTGATTACGCGTGTCAGTCACAACAATGTTTCCTAAGGTATTTGTAGCTACATCCCATGGGTAATAAAACTGTCCACATCTATTACCAAGTGACCCAAGTTCGAGGATGAACTTTTCTGCCATTGTAAATATTTGGATTCTATGGTTATCCTTATCTGCAAAAATAATTCTGTCGAATATGTCAGTTGTAATGCCAGCTGGGAGGTCAAATTCAACAGGGCCAGCGCTTTTAGAACCAAACATGCTTTTAAATTCACCGTTCTTTCGAAACGTCGGCAACTATTACATTGCCTTCGATATCTACACATAAACCCTACGATTTAGCAAATTCAGCTTCGTTTGGTCCCTCACGAACAAATGAAAACATAAGCTCTTCAAGGCGTAAGCTACTAATTAGGCTTTACATATACTGACTTCCAGTAACCTGGAATGGCTTGTCCAATGCTGAGTGAAGTACAAATAGTTGATTCCATAACTAAGGATGAAGTGAGGTCGTAATAACGCGATTTTGCACTTAATGAATAATCTGACTCCGTCATACAACTAGTACTTGTAACAAGATAATTTGAAGCGTGTAACGACTGACCTGCCGGCAAGGACTGCATTGGCATTAAAGTTTGGTGGGAAGAAGAGTTATGTTATAGTTCGGTAACATAAACAAATTCTCTCTTCCTTCACCTGCATATTCTTGAACATAGTTGAAAATAAATTAACCTCATATTTGTCCTTTTCTTTAATCATAAACAAATTTATTCCATCGGAATCTATGCTATGTATTATCAATTCACTTATATGAGATAAACCAGCGAGCATACTACGCAGTGTATTCATATATTGATTCAATTCGTTTATCTTCGACTGACGCATGTTCTCAACCTTCTCCAAAAGATATGTTTCACGATTTTCTACGGCTTGAGTAAACAGCTGCATAGTAGTCTCTATTTTCTCCTTCACTTCGAAACATTCATTGTTGTAAGTTTTTGACATGGTATTTGCACGGTCGATTGCAATGTTCATTATTTTCTTGCCAGTTCTCGTACATTCTATTGCCTTAATAAGATCTACGCGACATATATCAAAAGCACCTTTTATCGACGTATACTTATGCTCCTTATGAAATGATAATGTACATTCTATGCAAATAAAAATGGTGCATTCTTTACAATAATAACTCATTAAATCACCATGGGATTCACAAATCATGTTGATGGAATGAGGCCTGACAACAATAGGCGGTAGTTGATATATTGGTTAAATATCGTGTTCTCGCAACTGGGCGTTTGATTCAAGTGTGGGGCTACAATTATAACAAAAAAACGGCATTGCATACGAGGCAACGCATTCATGGACACTGTAGAGGATGTGCTAGAGGAGCCGTTAGAGGTATCTTCTTTTGGAGGCATGTCCTAGTTACTGTTGTTATTTTTTGCCATTACATAATCACAGTTTGTAGTGTTCATGGAATTTGGCGTGCATCTGTTGGAGGGCAGTGCACTGATCTCACGACATGGTGACATGATCAGTGACTGCTCCGGTTCGTTGGAGCCGTCGCTGGATGCGGCGCTATTCGTAGCTGCCGAGGTCGACGGCAGATTTGATGCCAGCGATTGTGTATTATCGAATGATGACATTCTGAGGTGTAGACGTCACGTGATTACAACTGTGAAGAAATGAAACTCGCGTTAACATCAAAAATATGTTTTAACAATAACTATAATGCAGCACAGGGCACAATACCCAACAAAAAAATTGTAATGAAAACTTAGGGAACCGGGAATTTAGAAAAAAATGCTACGTCAACAACAAATTAGGTAGTTTCCATTTTTATATAGTGAATTTACTTTTAAAAAATTGTTACTAGGCCTTTCTATCACGACTTTCTTATGCAATGCAAACAAACAAACAATAAAATGTTTACAATATTCTTTTTATAATATTATTATAGACAAATATAAGTTACACAATATCAAATATTGATATCCCAAACTAAGTACCAAACTAGCAAGACCTTATATAATAAATATCTGAAACAAGGATGGTCCCACAACCACAATGCCTGTAGTGTAGACATATAAATAGAAAAATTAATTTTCTTCATAGGCCCGACGGAGAAGCTTGCCCAGGAGAAACATTGAAACTGGCGTGTAAACCACGGGGATTATGTTAAAGAATATGAATAATATTACTTGAAAACATCATGAAAAAGTATTGAAACGGTTTTTATCATTCTTATATAGTCGTCTATAGAAATATTTAAAAGAGGGACTTGATTGTTTGTTTGTTTGCATTTACTAGGCTCTGAAACAATTGTACCATGTCCAAAAAACATATCATAATTAATGGGGGCGAAGTCGCGGGAAACAGCTAGTATAAAAAAATGCCAAACGCATTCTAAGAAGTACAGCATATTTTGAGTTTTCCGTAAGATTATGACATCTTTGCATATATAACTTAATAATGCCACACGTTTTAAAGTTCCGCATCGGAAAGGGGGAAAACAGTAAGTAGCTTTATAGCTTCACTATCACGTATGTCCGTTCGTCGATATGCAAATCTATCACATCTTGTCATACGTTAGTTAAAATTTCACATACTTTTTATTTCCGTAATAACTGTTCCTAGATTTTTATTTTTAAAATATATTTATTTCAAAATGATATGGTATTTATTTTAAAATATTTATTATGCTTTATCACTTTATTTAAGGATAAATTCATGTTTTTTTATTATCACTATTTCACACTTTTATTAATATTTATCATTTTTAATAAAAATAATGCGATACCTTATTTTAAAAATATCTCAAATTCAAGAATTAAATTAAGCTAATCTTTTATGTTATCTATACTTGAAACCAGAAACAATAATAAATAAAAATTACATACCCTAAGGACTTCACTAACACAAAACTCACACACGCACCGAATTTAATTTTGATATTAATAATCAACTTAAGTAAGTAAACATTTGTTCATAACTGACACGTCTACCCCGGACGGTGGTTGCACTTAAACTAACTAAATTACTAACTGAACTTAACATTACAATGCAGTTTGCGAAATAATAGCCGAAAATTGTTTAGGCCTTAACCCGTCTCGTGGTATTTTTTTATTAAATGTAGCCTGTCGGTGTTTATTCTAGCCAAGACAAAGTGAACATTATTTTCCTAAAGGAGATAAGTTTCACTGTAACTAGTCTTGGTTCACTATGTAAGTGTATTTCTTAACAATTATACACAAAAGAGCATTATCATAACTCCACCATTATGAATTTAAACAAAAGATATAATGTTGTTAAAGTTTCTTTGAAATCCTAAAGCATATTTCATACATTTTGTTTAATTCTATAGTTAAGTAATATGAATCTTCGCATTTTTATCAGCATATGATTTGTAGAGACTTGTTGTATATTTTTCGTTAAATATGTTTTAACAATAACTACAATGCAGCACAGGGCACAATACCCAACAACAAAATTGTAATGAAAACTTAGGGAACCGGAAATTTTAGAAAAAAATGCTACGTCAACAACAAATTAGGTAGTTTCCATTTTTATATAATGAATTTACTATTACAAAATTGTTACTAGGCCTTTCTATCACGACTTTCCTATGCAATGCAAACAAACAAACAATAAAATGTTTACAATATTCTCTTTATGATATTATTATAGACAAATATAAGTTACACAATATCACATATTGATAACTAGCAAGACCTTATATAATAAATATCTGAAACAAGGATAGTCCCACAACCACAATGCCTGTAGTGTAGACATATAAATAGAAAAGTTAATTTTCTTCACAGGCCCGACGGAGAAGCTTGCCTAGGAGAAACATTGAAACTGGCGTGTAAACCACGGGGATTATGTTAAAGAATATGAATAATATTACTTGAAAACATCATGAAAAGTATTGAAACGGTTTTTAACATTCTTATGTAGTCATCTATAAAAATATTTAAAAGAGGGACTTGATTGTTTGTTTGTTTGCATTTACTAGGCTCTGAAACAATTGTACCATGTCCAAAAAACATATCATAATTAATGGGGGCGAAGTCGCGGGAAACAGCTAGTATAAAAAAAATGCCAAACGTATTTTAAGAAGTACAGAATATTTTGAGTTTTCCGCAAGATTATGACATCTTTGCATATATAACTTAATAATGCCACAAAGGGAAAACAGTAGCTTTATAGCTTCACTATCACGTATGTCCGTTCGTCGATATTCAAATCTATCACATCTTGTCATACGTTAGTTAAAGTTTCATATACTTTTTATTTCCGTAATAACTGTTCCTAGATTTTTATTTTTAAAATATATTTATTTCAAAATGATATGGTATTTATTTTAAAATATATATTATGCTTTATCACTTTATTTAAGGATAAATTCATGTTTTTTTATTATCACTATTTCACACTTTTATTAGTATTTATCATTTTTAATAAAAATAATGCGATACCTTATTTTAAAATTATCTCAAATTCAAGAATTAAATTAAGCTAATCTTTTATGTTATCTATACTTGAAACCAGTAAGAATAATAAATGAAAATTACATACCCTAAAGACTTCAATAACACAAAACTCACTCACGCACCGAATTTAATTTTGATATTAATAATCAACTTAAGTAAGTAAACATTTGTTCATAACTGACACGTCTACCCCGGACGGTGGTTGCACTTAAACTAACTAAATCACCAACTGAACTTTAACATTACAATGCAGTTTGCGAAATAATAGCCGAAAATTGTTTAGGGTTTAACCCGTCTCGTGGTATTTTTTTATTAAATGTAGCCTGTCGGTGTTTATTCTAGCCAAGACAAAGTGAACATTATTTTCCTAAAGGAGATAAGTTTCACTGTAACTAGTCTTGGTTCACTATGTAAGTGTATTTCTTAACAATTATACACAAAAGAGCATTATCATAACTCCACCATTATGAATTTAAACAAAAGATATAATGTTGTTAAAGTTTCTTTGAAATCCTAAAGCATATTTCATACGTTTTGTTTAATTCTATAGTTAAGTAATATGAATCTTCGCATTATTATCAGCATATGATTTGTAGAGACTTGTTGTATATTTTTCGTTAAATGAATTTCGACAAGTGGGATATTTTTCTCATTTCTTTGAACCTTTTCGTTTTTGAAACATTTATCTAGACATGGAGATTGATAACGCAGTGGTTCGAATCGATGTAGAGTTCATTAAGCAATTTTCGTAAGTCCAGTCACATGATGGATAACCAAAAATTTAATATATCGACCACCAGAGGCACGTTCATATTCAACTGTCTCTTCCAGGACACGTGATCAGCCGTTAAAATTATAATGGAAAAAATGTTTTTTTTTTTTAATGGTTGCGTTCCATTATTTATAAGAACACTAAATAAAAAACGATACATACCGTGAATATATTCAAAGCTAAAACCCTAGCATGAAAAATTCTTGACTGGGAATCGAATCCGTATATACCTACTTATCAAATGGTCAATTGCATAATAGCCATTAAGGTTAAAGTTTATATATTTAATGTTCTGAAAATTTGAACGAGTAATGTGGCATTAAACTAATTACTACGTTTGTGTAACTAACTGTTGTAACATAATGCAACTTCCATGTCCTGATTATTCCATGCAACGGTATTGAAAAATGAAAATTTGACCTTCAACTATTATTTAATGCAAATGCAGCCGGGACTAAGGCTTAACGTGCCTTCCGAAGCACGGAGTAGCTCGAGATAATATTTTTTTTGGTCACCCATCGCGTGACCGACCCTTGCGAAAGCTGCTTAACGACAACGATCGCGGGCCGCGGCGCTTATACACTATATTAATTGACATCTCTAATAATGGATGGTTTTACATATAATTATGTAGATTTTATACTTGGTTTTAATAACAAGTTAAATATTAATTCTAAATTAACTCATATGAAGTTAACAAAATTGCTATTTATATTACTTGGTATTTATTAGTA